TGTATTGTATCCGGCTGACAGCATACAGCCGTAAATATAATGGTAAATTAATGGCTTCCTAAAGAAACCATCGACATGGGACCAGGTTTGTTCCACACTACAATTTTTTTTGCGATTTTTCCACCAAGTTTGATGAAAAACGATTGTGCCGTTTTGGCTGCACAGACAGACAGACATACATTCGGATAGCGCTATAGTATATTAGAGGACAAAATACAAACATAAGAAAATAAGGAGTCTGCAATAGGCCGGTTGGCCTGGGCATGGCAGCTGCTGTCGAGAGTTACTACCGCTCTCTATCATCCATGAATCTATCTAGCCTCCTTTTGAAACTTTCCAGCGTTCCAGCACTTACTACAAAGTTGCTAAGCTTGTTCCACTCGTCCACCACCCTATTTGTGAACCAGTTTCTTCCTATCTCCCTCCTAAACCTAAACTTATCCAACTTGAATCCGTTGCTCTGAGTCCTATCCAGCTCGGATATTATAAGAACTTTATCTATATCCCCTTTATTGATTCCTTTCACCCACTTAAATACTTCTATCATATCTCCCCGCACTCTTCGTCTTTCTAGGGAATGCAAGTTAAGTTTCTTTAACCTATCCTGATATGGAAGGTTTCTAAGTCCCGGAATCATTTTTGTCATTCTTCACTGCACCGACTCTAGTGAATTTATATCCATTCTATCATAGGGGCACCAGAACTGAACCGCATAATCGAGGTGCGGCCTGACTAGCGCAAGATATAGTTGTAATAAGACCTCTGCATTCTTGTTACTTACACTTCTAGATATAAAACCCAATACTCTGTTTGCCTTATTTCGAACATTAACGCACTGTTTTCTAGGCCCTAGGTCCGGGCTTACAAGTACCCCTAGGTCTCTTTCACAAGTCGACTTCTCTAGTTTGATGTTGTTAAGGCTGTATATATTATCAGTATTTGTTCTTCCAATATTGAGTACGCTGCACTTGCTGGTGTTGAATTTCATTTGCCATTTTTCAGACCACCCCTGCAGTTTATTTAGATCCTCTTGTAATGCATTTGCATCCTGCCCTGAATTAATCTGCCGCCCTATTTTGGTGTCATCCGCAAACTTGCTTATGTCACTGCTGATCCCAGTATCTAGATCGTTTATGTAGATTATGAACGAAAGTGGGCCTAGTACTGACCCCTGAGGAACCCCACTGGTTGCACGGCCCCACTCAGATTTAACACCATCTACGCTGACCCTCTGCGTTCTATCGGTGAGCCATGATTTTATCCAATTTAAAACTTTCCCCACGAATCCATGAGCCTTAATTTTTCTCAGAAGCCTCTGATGCGGTACTCTGTCAAATGCTTTGCTAAAGTCTAAGTAAATAACATCGTAATTTTCGTCATTATCTACTACCTCGAAGACTTTCCTAAAAAACGTCAGCAGATTTGTTAGACAAGATTTTCCCTTTGTAAACCCATGTTGAGAGTCGTAGATTAATTTGCTTTTCTCTAGATGCGATCGGATGCTATCTGCTATAATTGATTCAAGAAATTTCCCCACTACTGACGTCAAACTGATCGGCCGGTAATTTGACGCTGATATGTAGAAAACCTAGGGGAACAAGTCATTAAACTTACACTACAATAATACATAGAACACGTGAAACATATACATAAAACAAGTCATGAAACATACCCTACTGTAGTACATAATATATTAAATCAAAGAGCTAGAAATGACGCCTGTACCGCCAATATATATATATATATATATATATATATATATATATATATATATATATATATATATATATATATATATATATATATATATATATATGTATATCTTGATAAAATCACACGGGAAAATGGAAACAACGGAGCACCTTAGCTTTCGTCTTTATTCAAGACATCTTCAGAGGCAACTGGATTACATGGACAGAGAGAGGCTTAAATATACAGGGTGACCTTAAAACATGAGGTCAGGTCATAATGATGTCATCCACTAATCCCCACACCAACACACACGAAGAGGAGCTTAAGAGAAGGGGGGTGACGTGACTAGTCAGGTCAGGTCAAAAATAAGGGACCCACAAAATAACTATCATACATCTAGATCAAAGGTTTTCAAAGCATTTTTAACCTTGGGCCACTGACATATAAATTTATGTAACATATTATCAGTTTTGAACTGACCATCCCTAAGGTTTATTGATTTTAATTCCTTAATCAAACTAGCTTCAACCAGAAGTCTTTCTGTGACACAAGATGATTTAAATACTTCTAAGCTTTTTTTCCCAAGCAATGGGGTGATTATTATTCCTAACATGAACGAACAAGGCACTGCTTTCAGATGCTGTTCTGATATTATACTTATGTTGTTTGATTCTGAGCTGCAGTGTTTTTCCTGTCTGTCCTACATAATTACAATTACATTTGCTACATGGAATACAATAAACACTTCCATTTACATTCAAACTTGGGCTATTTCTTATTAACATATTGGTAATGGTTGAGTCATACTTGAAAACAACATTAATATTTAGAAGCTTGAGGGACCGAACTAACGGGGCAAATTCATTGAGATAGGGCAGAGTCAAAATATTCTTAAGTGTAGGAATTTGCCTGGTTTGAGAGGAATGAAAGGATTTTTTAGCCCTTTTAAAACAACGATCAACAAACACAGAAGGGTACCTGAGTTTCTGTGCAATGGAACGAATGTGTTTCAATTCATCGTCAATAAATTCAGTCACAAATACGCAGACATCTTAAGAACATAGCAGAAAAAACTGACATTTTGGTAGACTCCAGGTGATTCGATAAAAAGTGAATGAAACTGTCTACCTGTGTGGGCTTTCTGTATACCTTAAATTTGTAGTTTTGGCCATTTCTCATGATAAGCATATCAAGGAATGGAAGGGATCCATTTATTTCTCTTTCAATTTTGAATGTGACACTTGGGACAATATCATTAAGCTTGTCTAAAAATTCCAATGGGTCACTGTTTCTAGGCCAAAGACAAAGAACATCATCTACATATCTATACCATGGAGGAATAAAGGCCACTATATTGGGTAGTAATCTAGACTCACAAAACTCCATATAAATACAGGCTAGAGGAGCAGAAAGACAACTACCCATGCTCATGCCAAATATAAGAACATAAGAACATAAGAATGGAGGAAACTGCAGCGGGCCTATTGGCCCATACTGGGCAGTCCCGTTTACGCCCAACCCCTATTGCTCATATGAGCATCCAACCTATGTTTGAAGCAATTCAGCGTATTCGAGTTAATGATGATATTTGGTATATATATATATATATATATATATATATATATATATATATATATATATATATATATATATATATATATATATATATATATATATATATATATATATATATATATATATATATATATATATGTAATATTCAGAAATTTCAGTGTAATTTCAAACACCGCTCCATTGGCGATACTGAGGCTATCTGAGTAAATTAATGGTCACACACTGAGACCATGAGTCTAGGACTCTAGGAGATACCTAGAGGAACATTTTATCTCCCTTATTACGAGTATTGGTGGACCCAGTAACATATCAATAATAGTGACTATATTTGTGTGTAGTTAATACCATTTCTCAGTTACTGATGTTATCTTGACGTGTGTGGTTTAATATTTCTTAAATAATTTTGATAGTATTGTTTTTTGAATGTTGTGTCACTAAGCTGAACCAGAGTGATACTGTGATTTAATTCTTTTAATGCATTTAATTTTTCTTTATAATTCCGATCTCAGGTATAACCTTTGTTCCCCAGAGTAGTGTTTAAGTTAGGTTAGGAATTGTGCATCTGTTGGGGTGATATAATTTTGTTGAAAGCCCTTAAGGCCTGTTTCATGTGTGCAAGCAACATTTCTTAATACTTTAAATTTATTGTTGCCTGAGTTTCTAATAATTTCAATATCATGTATAACATTTATTCCCCAGAGTAGTGTTTTAAGTTCAGTTAAGAGGTGCGCATATTGGTGTACCATTATTTGATTGTGTTTGTAGTGTTGGAGGGAATATAAGTGTCTAATTTTTACAGTGTGTCTCATTCATCCCAGTCACAGACGCTATCCTTCCACGGGTCACGGACAATTCATTTTGTTTAGTAGATTTAAGTGTTCTTGTGCTGGTTCGGGATTTTTCTCAAAGGGGCGCTTCCACTGCCATTACCATCTATTAATCTTTAATAAACCCCAAGTCAAGTGAGAAAATAAAGTCCAGTAAATTCCGACCGGTTACATATATATATATATATATATATATATATATATATATATATATATATATATATATATATATATATATATATATATATATATATATATATATATATATATATATATATATATATATATATATATATATATATATATATATATATATATATATATATATATATATATATATATATATATATATATATATATAAAGTGTAGATATACACAGCACTTCACATATATTTCTCAAATACTCGTATACTATGAATGCTGGTAGCAGTAGAATTGGTTTCGTAATAAATAATCGAAGACAATGCATTTTAATTATTCTTATATTATAATTAACTTTAAAATCATTGCTGCTTACAAATATTTTTTTCTAAAAAGCACTAACTGGTGTCTCACATCATCCATGTTACTTAGCTTAATTTCAGAGGAATAGCACACTTGCGCTCGGCAAGAGCTAAAATTACTTCAGAATTTACATCAACACTTGTACCACCAGGTGTTCCATACCACGAGTTGTCAGTTATGTATATAGTTATCTATTTTGCACTGAAATGTTTTGTTATAATCGTTGAAAATTATAATAATTAGTTTTCAGTTATATTTTTCTTTGTTTTTTGGGGTCCGTCTCAAAATGCGACAAATATTTTAGCCATTACATATGAACGTGTAATCATTTACTTCTTTTACTACAATATAATTCAGCTGTGAAACAACCCGCACCAGTCATCAATCAGGTGTGTAGCTTCAGCAATTACGTAGTTGTACCCGAGAGTCTGCCCGACGGACACCCACTCACACAGTTCAAGGTAAACCAAACATTTACTTCATGTTCAGTAGCTTACAATAACAAAGGACAACCTCTAGTGTCAGCAGTATTGCAAGGTAGTGTACCTACAAGTGCTGCTGCTGACAAGGCTGACTCCTGGTAGCGTACCAACAAGTGCTGCTGCTGACGAGGCTGACTCCTGGTAGCGTACTAACAAGTGCTGCTGCTGCTGCTGCTGCTGCTGTAACAGCAATAACAGCCAAGACAGTAACAGTAATAACAGCCAAGACAGTAACAGTAATAACAGCCAAGACTGTAATAACAGCCAAGACTGTAATAACAGCCAAGACTGTAATAACAGCCAAGACAGTAACAGTAGTAACAGACAAGACAGTAACAGTAATAACAGCCAAGACTGTAACAGTAATAACAGCCAAGACAGTAACAGTAATAAAAGCCAAGACAATAACAGTAATAACTACGAAGACAGTAACAGTAATAACAGCCAGGACAGAAACAGTAAGAACAGCCAAGACAGTAACAGTAATAACAACCAAGACAAGACAGTAACAATAAGAACAGCCTAGAGAGTAACAGTAATAACAGCCAAGACAGTAATAGTAATAACAGCCAGGACAGAAACAGTAAGAACAGCCAAGACTGTAACAGTAATAACAACCAAGACAAGACAGTAACAGTAAGAACAGCCAAGAGAGTAATAGTAATAACAGCCAAGACAGTAACAGTAATAATAGCTAAAACAGTAACAGTAATAACAGCCAAGACAGTAACAGTAATAACAGCCAAGACAGTAACAGTAATAACAGCCAAGACAGTAACAGTAATAATGAACTAGCCATAAAGTATATGTGACTAGACATATAGTATAATGGGTAAAAGTAGCGAAACCCCATTGTTGTTTCTTCTTTTATTGAAAAAAATATTGTTTATATAATTCCTGAGTGTAAATCAACCGTAACTTCCACTATCTATGAGTGTGAAAGGAGAGGACGGCGGATATATAAATAGACCGTTTAGTCACGTCCGTTCATTGTAAGATTATGAGTGTGACTGCTATGAGTAGTGACCCATCGAGGGAGAACGGAATAAGCACGTCGTCCTCCCTCGAGGGAAGACTGAGCCATCCACGATGGCTCTCAAATAACGTCTTCCTCTCGTCAAGGGTATCAAGCTACTGCCCACTTTGGGTGGCCAGAAAACCGGCTACTAAATGCCTTAACTCAGCATAATATGAGGCAGCCTAACCATGTTACAAACATATGTGTAAACACTAAGCTGGGGACTCTGAAACCATCAAGTACTGGGGTCCTAGACTTAAGTGTCTGACGGGCTAGTATCTCATGTAAAATGGCAAAATTGGATGATTCTGACTTTAAACACAAACATTACTGCCAATATCAACACAATATTGGAATCGTTAACTTGGTTAAGCATAATGGCAGAAATAATCTTCGCCTACTTCGTGTTTACGCCTTCTGAGCAATGTACAACTTTTGCTACTGTAATCACGCTAGATGAATGAGTGTGTGGTGCTTCAGACTCTTTCTACGAAACATTCATATTAGCGGAGAGCAATGGTACTGAGTTGTAAAGGGTTCTACACGGTATGGCTGAAAATTTACAGTCTGTGATACTTTACTGTATAACTATCATATTTTTATTTTAAGAAGATGTGTCTTTGACATCATTAAAATATGTAGTTTGAAAATTATGAACATTCTTATCCTCCCTGGGATCAAAAGAAAATGTCCACATTTTCTATGTCTAAGGTTTGAAAAATTAATTAGATACAAACCAAAGAAATATCCTTGTCCATCCATTTACAGGAAATTTATAAAAAATAGAGTTAAAATAAATATAGTATCAATAACTGAACAGGTAAGAAATAAATACTGGGAATTATATCACGTCAGTGTATATTAAAATAAGTAAGGCACTTACAACAATGACATAACCTATCCGATGTTCTATCAATGTGGAGGCATTCCGTTGGCTATGTAAATGTATGTATTTATTTAATGTATGCCTAGATTCTACCTATTCCTTGCAGGCTTGAAAACGTGAAATTGTTGCCGCAATCCCGTAGACTTGCATGTGTCACTCACAGGAGACACAGCTGACTCCAAGGTCCGGTGACTGGGTCAATGTCCACGAAAATGCTGCAATTCTTCTTCCTTGTAGAAGTAAATGTAACACATATAACAATATCTTCGATTGCTATTTCAAATTTACATTTACGTTTCATATATATATAGGTTCTTCTTCTAAACCAGTATGCCACAGTAGTGGGAAGAACATAATACCTCTACCTTTACCAACTGTGTTTATGGTGAGATGACTGTTAGTGTGATATATCAGTTACATGTGAAACTAATATATGCAACAACCTTCCTGGGTTATCACCACTTGTAACAATCACTTGAGAAGCTATTTCGTATAGAGTCCCACTGTGTATAAAATAAATGAACCACGAAAATGAAGGAGTTGGACATCTTCATAGAAAACTCGATCCACAGATGGTCTCAGGTGGGGGGTTAGTTGGGTTGGTACAGCAATCGTCCCTCCCACTCTGAGTTGGCGGCGAGCGAGGGCTGCTCCACTGCGTATGTCCGGTTGCCTAGCAGCCACCAGATGCGCTGCAGTGACGAACGCCGGGTGAATCCACTTCACGACAGGGGAGTACCTTCCACAGTATGGTCAGCTGCTGACAATGACGAATCAGGTCCTCTACTCGCTGATACGATGTCGCTGTTTCTGTGTGCCAAACCTTCTGCAGCCCTGTATATATGAAGGACTTTCTGATGCACTGGAAATATAGCAATCAACGATCACGAAGCCTCAATTGTCGTCTGGACACTTGTGAAAGGTCTTTTGTTAGTAAACCCTGAAAGTATTTGGGTATGTCTGCAACACTGCAAGCGGAGGGCACAGGATAAGAATGCCGACAAGACACTTTCCTGACCACTCTTGCTTGTTGTTAACAGGGGTATCACTAACTAGCCGTATGGTAATAAGTTAACAATAACTCAGAATTGGTTATTGGAATAATTCTGCACACCACTATGGGAGAAAGAATGAGGAACACTAAAGTACAATCGTCTCACTACGGGATATAGCAATTCACTCTGATATGTAACACGCCACTGTTTTTTGTTTTTCTTATTTCACAAAACACTGACGCCTTGGTACGTAGACTGGTATGTCATATTCGTACTCACATTAGCTGCCACCATCCAATATTCTATAGCGCTATCCGTCTGTCTGTCTGTCTGTCTGTTTGTCTGCCTGTGCAGCCGAAACGGCACAATCGTTTTTCATTAAACTTGGTAGTAAAATCGCAAAAAAATCCTAGAGTGGAACAAACCTGGCCCCATGTCGATGGTTTCTTTAGGAAGGCATTAGTTAACAATTATATTTACGATGGAAAACGATGACAAATCTACGGACATGGCGCACCTTTATTCGATGTACGCTGTCAGCCCACGATTGCAGTTATCGTACGGCTCCCTCCTCCCACCCCTTTTTTTCTTAGCCTCCTATTTTTTAATGTTGTTTGGATTAGTAAAGGACGGAAGATGAGTAAATAGAAGAATAAAGAAAGGAAAACAGAAAATAGTTAGAGATAACAGGTGGGGGGAGCTAAGTTTCATCATGCGTCTGGATGCGCAGTTTCAACGTTACCAGACGACCTTACAGCTACAGTGTATACTTATTCCTGTGGCTGACTGTACGTGGAAAAGAGATAATAACAGGAATGCATGGAGAAGATGACTACAATAGACACAGGGTGAATATAGACAGTGAAACAGACAGGAGGTTGACAAAAATATACAGATTCATACATGCACAAATAGACAATATGGCAACTAACATGACAGACAGACAGCTGACTGACTGGTTCGCATAAGTGTTCACAAACAGGCAGACACACGCCAATAATGGATAAGACAGACAGATTTGACGACACAAAGAGTATAGACGGGCTTACATTCAAACACCACACAGACGAACAGACAGTTGGGATGGCAATAGACATGACGGATAGACTTGAGACAGATTAGAAGGCATTTATAAACAAGAATAACACCAAATTGACCATAGCTGCGTCAGTGAGGGTAGGAGGTCTTACATCCACCATCTTAAATAATAAGAAGCATTGAAAACTAACACCCTCGCGTGGAAAAAACATTGATGGTCAGTCAGTCATGTGAGATGGGCCTAAAACTGACTAACGTAGATGATGACTATGATGACTTAACACAAGTGATGACTTAAGCAGATGATGACTAATATAACCAAAATCAAGGTCACTTCACTTCATAATATAATTTATCTCGGAATGATCCTCTGTGATTCGTAATAAATTTTTTTATGATTTCAACCTCTCCTTATGGCGAATATTTCTTTAATTAATTATTCTAACGTTTATTCTATTCCTTCTTATAGTATATTAGATACTGTAAGTATCATGACCACGACCATGATTATAACAACCACGACCATGATTATAACAACCACGGCCATGATTATAACAACCACGACTATGATTATAACAACCACGACCATGATTGTAACAACCACGACTATGATCATAAGCACGACAATGATTATAACAACCACGACTATGATTATAACAACCACGACGATGATTATAACACCCACGACCATGATTATAACAACAACGACCATGATTGTAACAACCACGACTATGATTATAACAACCACGACCATGATTATAGCAACCACGACCATGATTATAACAACCACGACCATGATTGTAACAACCACGACTATGATTATAACAACCACGACCATGATTATAACAACCACGACTATGATCATAATAACCACAACTATGATTATAACACCCACGACCATGATTATAACAACTACGACCATGATCATAACCACGACCATGAATATAACAACCACGACTATGATTGTAACAACCCATGATTATAACAACCACGACCATGATTATAACAACCGCGACTATGATTAAAAAAACCACGACTATTA